CATTGCTGATGTCAGATGGATCTTGGTTGAAAGCAGAGAATATCAGAAAGATGTTTACCTGTGTTTTATTGACTATGCAGAAGCATATTTGACTGTATGGATCATAACAAATTATGGATAATGTTATAAAGAATGGGAATTCCAGGACAATTATGCTTATGTAGAACATGTACAAAGACCAAGGGGCTGTTGTCTGAACAGAACAAAGGGATACTGTGTGGTTTAAAATTAGAATGATGTGCTCTGGGGTTGTATCTTTTCACCATGTTTATTCAATCTGTATGCTGAGCAAATCTAAGAAGTTGAACTATATGAAGAAGAACACAGCATCAGGACTGGAGGAAACTTCACTAAGAACCTGGATACACAAATGACACAACATTGCTTGCTGAAAGTGAAGAAGACTTGAAGCACTTACAGGTGAAGGTCAAAGACTACAGCCTTCAGTATGGATTACACCTCAAAATAAAGAAAACAAAAATCCTCAAAACTGGATCAATAACCTACATCATAATAAAAGGAGAAAGCATTGAAGTTGTCAAGTATTTGATTTTACTTGGATCCAAAATCAACATCCACGGAAACAGCAGTCAAGAAATCAAATGACGTATTGCATGGGCAAACCTACTGCAAAAAATCTCTTAAAAGTATTAAAAAGCAAAGATGTCTCTTTGAAGACTAAGGTGCACCTGTTCCAAGCCATGGTATTTTCAATCATCTCATATGGGTGTGAAAACTGGAAAATGAATAAGGAAGACTGAAAAATTGATGCCTTTGAATTATGGTGTTGGTGAGGAGAGCTCTGGTAGTGTAGTGCCTGAAGCATTTGACTGCTAACCAGAAGGCTGGTAGTTTAAACTCACAAGCCACTCCTCAGAAGGAAGACTGGGGAATCTACTTCTGTAGTGATACTGTCCTGGAAACCCAAGGAGGGGTCGCTATGAGCCGGAACCGACTCAACGGCAGTGAGTTTTGTTTTTTTTTTTTTTTTTTTTAACCAGAAGAATGAACAAATCTGTCTTGGACAAAGTACAGCCAGAACATTTCTTAGAATGGAGGAACTGAGACTTTGTCTCACATATTTTGGTCATGTTACCAGTAGGGACCAGACCCTGGAGAAGGACATAATACTTGGTAAAGCAGAGGGTCAGTAAAAAAGAGACAGACCCTCAATGAGACAGACTGAGACAATGGCTGCAACAATGGGCTCAAACAGGACAACAATTTTGAAGGTAGCACAGGACCAGGAAGTGTTTCGTTCTGTTGTATAGAGGGTCACAGAGAGTTGGAATCAACTGGATGGCACCTAGCAGAAACAACAACAACAATACAAATATTTAGTTACATCATATAGTGTAAAATAAAAGAAGCAGAAGACAAAATTGTGCGTATTGTGTCATACCATTTATGTTTGTGAAAAGAAGACTTTGTATATGTATCAACCAAAAATTATACCATTTGCTGTCAAGTTGATTCCAACTCATGGCAAGGCCATGTGTGTCAGAATTTTCAATGGTTGTGATCTTACAAAAGTGGATTTGATGAGTTATAGCTGAACACTTAATCATTTACACCATGCAGGGAGTCCTGAGTACGTAGAGATGCACAGAAAACAACTGGTAGGAGTTCCATCATAATATTAACAAAGAACACCTCTGGGTGATGGTGAAGGGTTGGAGATTTCTTACTACTTTTCTGAGTTCTCCAAATCCTCTAGAGCAGTGCTTTCCACAAATCACCTGGTGATTTTGCTAAAATGATTCTGAGCCAGTTGGTCAGGGATTTTGCAGATTCTTCATTTCTAACAAGTTGGTGCTGATGCTTTTGGCCCAAGGCCTACACTTTGAGTGGCAAGGTTTTAGAACAGAGATTCTCAAACTTGAGCAGGCATCTGAATCACCTGCAGGGCTTTTAAATTACAGATTGCTGTACGCCACATGCAAAGGTCTCTGCAATCTGACCCAATCATTTCCACTACTTCTTTTTAGGCCACAAGATCAAACCACTATACCCTAAACAAGGGGCTCTGGTAGCACAGTGCCTAAGGCATCTGACTACTAAAGAGAAGGTTGGCAGTTCAAACTCACCAGCCACTCAGTGGAAGTAAGACTGGGCAGTATTCCTTATATTTAGATTTACTGCCTCAGAGACTTGATGGCAGTGGGCTTGGTTTTTTAGATGCCCTAAACCACCTGATATTTCTAACTTCAGAATTGCTGCAATTGCTGCTTTGTTTCTTCACTCTGGCTGATACATCTCTTCTTTCTATTTCCTCATACCCAAAATTTTACCTACCCTTCAAAGCCCTCATATGCTACTTCCTCCATAACGCTTCCTGATCCACCACCACGCCAAAGTCATTTCTCCTTCCCTTACTCAGGGCTCCACACCACTTTACCTGTTTCTCCCCAGTGACATACACCATTTCCTAACTGGTATAGTGACTCACCACCACCTCTCTGTCAGTTTGTTGTACTGTGGTGGCTTTTATATTGTTATGATGCTGAGAGCTGTCCCACCAGAATTTCAAATACAAGCAGGATCACCAATGGAGGTCAGGTTTCAGCAGAGCTTCCAACCTAAGATAGACAAGGAAGAAAGGCCTCGTGGTCTACTTCCAAAAATTAACCAATGAAAACCTTATGAACCAACAGAATATCATTGTCTGATATAATGCTGGAAAATGAGCCCCTAGGTTAGAAGACCTATACAGTAGGCACAACAATGGACTCCAATATACCAATGATCATGAAGACGGGACAGGCCTCCCAATGTTTAGTTCTGTATCATATAAGGTTACCATAAATCAGAACCAATTGGAAGTTCAACTAACAACAGCACAGACTCTACCAGTGGATGGTTATCTCCTCCAGTAGACTGGGAATGAATTTCTTGAAGGCAGGGTGATGACTTGTCTATCTTTGTTTGCCTCTTATTATTGTTTTTAGGTGCTGTTGAGTTGGTGTCGACTCATAGTGAACCTACGTACAACAGAACAAAACATTGCCTGGTCTTGCACCATCCTTACAATTGTTGCTATGATTCAGTCCATTGTTGCAGCCACTGTGTTAATCCATCTTGTTGAAGCTCTTCCCCTTTTTTGCTGACCCTCCACTTTACCAGGCCAGGGACTGGCCCTTCCTAACAACATGACCAAAGTTCAAGAGATGAAGTCTGGCCATCTTCACTTCTAAGGAGCATTCTAGCTATACTTCTTCCAAGACAAATTTGTTTGTTCTTCTGGCAGTTTATGGAATATTCAACAGTTTTTGCCAACACCATAATTCAAATGCATCAATTCTTCTGTGGTCTTCCTTATTCCACGTCCAGCTTTCACATGCATAAGATGCTTTTGAAAAGACAATGGTTTGAGTCAGAAGAATTTTAGCCTTCAAAGTGACATCTTTGCTCTTTAACACTTTAAACAGATCTTTTACAGCAGATTTGCCCAAAGCAATACCTTTTTTGATTTCTAGACTGCTGCTTCCATGGGCTTTGGTTGTGGATCCAAGTAAAATCCAATTAAAAGACGACCACACTTTCCCATTCAATCACGCCCTGAGAGACGCTCCTTGACAGCTTTTCTCCATGATGTTCCATCTGTCATGATGTTGCTTACTGGTCCATTTGTGAGGATTGTTGTTTTATGTTGAGGTGTAATTCATACTGAAGGCTGTCGTCTTTGGTTTTCATCAATCAGTAAGTGCTTCAAGCCTCCTCTACTTTCAGCCAGCAAGGTTATGCCGTCTGCATATTGCAGGTTGTTGAGGAGTCTTCTTCCAATCCTGATGCTGTGTTCTTCTTCGTTTGTCTCTTAGCCCTAGCAGATCCCCAGCAGTTGGGACTCAAGGTTGACTGAACGGAAGAATGAATGAAGGAAGGAGCACCGAGGAAGGGCAGCAACTGTCCTGTAAACGGATACTACAATGCATGCGTGCCAAGGCTGATGACCAACAGCAACAGGTGTTTTCCATCTCTGATGCCTGTGATTCATTCTCCACAGTTGTGCACACGCAGAGGTGTAAAGCGCACATAGACTTCTGGGATACAATACCCATACACTGGAGTACCCCCGTGTACTGGGCTCCCTGGAGGCCACACACGGAGATGCACACCTCACCACAACCTGAGGCCACAAAAAAGGGGACCCTGTTCCCTTAAAATATTAATGCCATATGGCAAAGAACAAGAAGCGACAGGATTATGCCTGTCCTTGGGTCTCCACCACACCTTCCTTTTTGGTTTTTAAGAAATATATTGAGGGTGAGTCTGCATGCATTTCATTGCAGCAGCCCCCTCCACCCCTTAAACACACACACACACCCCTTCCCCCTTTCAGACTAGGCGCGTCTCTCAGGGCGTGACTGAATGGGAAAGAGTGCGGTCGTCTTTGTCATTAATCCTCCCCACCTTCGGGCGAGCCAAGCTCCTTCCGGGTCAGCGATAATCACCGCCACCCTAACTGGGGCTGCGGTCCCCCCAGACGGGTAAGCCCCGAGAGCCAGGGGGCGGGGTCGCCGGGGCCCGCAGGTTGCCAGAGCCGAGGAGGGCGGGGAGGAAGGCGGGCGGCGCGGGAGTGGGGGAAGGAGGGAGGCAAGGACGGGAAGGCAGTCAGCGAAGGAGGAGGAGGAGGAGGAGGAGAGAGCAGCCTCCGGCAGCTGGCGAGGAGAATGGGAGT